ATGTGAGCGCCGCCGCTGACAAGGGACCTGGAAAGGCGCAGAGGGATGAAGCAGAGAGAAACAAATATTATCAGAAGATCGTCGGTTACCGAGCACAGCCTGAAATTTGGCATCAACGACTCAGCCATCCCTCACACGTTACACTCAAAAACTTCATCCAGGCCGGAGTCTTCGACTCAGATGCACTACTACTTTCCAAGGGTGGCACCCTCACAGCAACTTCAGACGACCCGCCGTGCATCGTCTGTCCTACCGCGTCACTCGCTCACAAACCCTTCCCTGACCTACCTCCTGGCTATGAACGCTACCAACCGCTCGAGAAGGTCTACGGCGGCTTCATGATATTTAGCCAAGCGGGGCTTGACGGGGAGCAGTACACGTTGACCTTCATCGACGCATGCACACGGTACGCCTGGGCTGTCAACACCGACTGTCGCTCTCTTGCCTTCAAGTGCTTCCTAGCCTGGATGAAGCGAGCAGAACGTCAATCAAGACTGAAGCTGAAAAGCTACCAAACAGACGGAGGAGCGGAGTTCAACCGAGGGGAGTGGGGTGACCTGAGATACACCAGAGGGAGCAGGACGAGGGGGGGGGGAGGGGGATTAGTAAAGGGGGGGGGGGGGGGGGGGGGGTGGGGGGACCAGGGAACTGCGGTGGGGGTAGAGACGGTAGTAGCAAACCGACTCGTCAAAGGTGACATCGCGGGAGGACAGGACACGACGAGTGGTTGGGTGGTAAAAATTGCCAGTCAGGAGAGTCGACAGGAAAGCCAAGGAAGACGCAACGAATAGTGCGAGGAGACAGCTTGCCCGCGGTAGGATCGCGGACAAGGCCAAGCGAACCCCAGACCCGAAACGCCGACGCATCGCCAACCTCCCCCGTCCGGAGGAGGGTAGGCGAGGTCTCTGGCTGGGAGACACGGGGCCAGAGGTTGAGCTAATGTGCGGCGTATCGAACCGAAAATGACCACAGAATATGGGGAGCAGCCGCATGGATCATAAAGGTGCGAGCAACCTCCATGATCAAGCGAATGTGGTGCTCAGCGATCCCATTCTGCTGTGGGGAGCCCGGAAGCGTGAACGACTGGGGGATGCCCTCCTCACGACAAAAGTCCTGAAGGAGACCGGAGGAAAACCCACCTTCACGGTCAGAGTGCAGACGGAGCACCGGAAGGTCCTGCTTGAACCGTGCGCTCGGCTGGCGTCAAACAGCGCGGATCCTAGGGACCAGAACAATACGGGCGTCGCCCTTATGCTCTAAGGTAAACACCATGGTGTAGCGCGTGAAGTCGTCGACGACCAGCAGAGGTAAGTGGTCGGAGGAAACGAGGAGTGAGGAGCGGCTCGCTGCCGCCCCTCGACGCAGGGAGTGCACGGCGGCGCAAGCGACGGCGGGACTGCTGGACACGGGAGAACAGTGGAGCCGCGCGCAACGATGGGTCCAGAGGAGGGGTCGGCCAGGGTGATAGGGACAGGTGCCGGGAGCGATGTGACTGTGGCGCAGTCGCGGAAGAAGCAACGAGTCGTACCAGAGTCTAGCGTGAACGTGCGCAAAGCCTCTGCAGGAACTGCACATGTACTAGCAAGCTCATTAGCACCTCCACTAGCAGTGTCTACACTAACAGATCTAGGCACACAAGAATATTAGTCACCCTCAGCACTAGAACTAGCAGCATACATGGCATACATGTCCGCAGAGATCTTGTCCCAATCTAGAGAAAATACATCTACGCCCTTTATTAGCAATCCTAGCATCCTCAACAGCACCTGGTGTCCCTGCCCTACGCCCACGAACAGCAAGGAGTAGCTGAACGGATGAACAGGAGCCTTGCCACAAGGATGAGGGCCCTGATGAAGCAGTCTGCCATCCCAACGAGGTTTTGGCCTTTTGCGATGAACCACGCTGTTCGGCTGCACAACTTGCTGTCCTCCCGAAGCCTCGAGAAAAAACACCTCGCCTTACAAAGCTTGGACGGGCAGAAAAGCTGACACGCGTTTTCTTCGGGTGTTCGGCTGCATGGAACAGTACAGGCCACACACAGCACGGACCGGAAAGTTTCCTAAACAGGCACGCCGGGGAATTCAGATCGGGATCGAAAAAATAATACAAGGCGTGGATCGTGCTGGACTACGCGACACACAAGTGACAAAATCACGTGACTGCATCTTCTACATGAAGCTGACCCCGCCACTGTTCAAGGAACACCGCGAAGCTGACAAGACACCGGAAAGGGTTTTCGAGGGGCACCGCAGCTTCGCCACATCCCAGGATGAGGCTGACCTGGCAGAGAATGCAGATGCAACGGCCGTCACACCATTCGACTCCTTTCCCAACATCCCCCTTACAAGTCCCTTCAAGACTCCAACCTACAAACATGTCTCCCAATTCGATCCTGACGATACAACTCGCGAAGCCCATAATTATAACAGTGAAGCGCGCCGATCTCCGGATGCTAAGTTACCACCACCAAATCCCTCGCAAGACACCATCCGCACCGGCCACCAGCGCCGACGACGATGTCGAAGTTACCAGCTTCCACGACTACGACCGCCTCCAATACGAAAATACCAACGAAACTGGCCTCCGCATCCTTGGGCTCGCAGTCGCTGTTCGCCACACCTCCCCCAAGAAGCCCACCACCGTTCGCCAGGCCCTGTCCGGACCCGACAATGAGAAACGGGAGGCAGCCATGGCTGCTGAAGTAACAGCACTAAAGAGCCGCGGGACGTGGAAGCTAGTCCCCCGATCATCTGCGAAGGGGAGAAAAAATCTCAGCGGCAAATGGGTCTTTCGAATCAAAATGCCCGCCGACAGTTCAATTGATAAGTATAAGGCGAAGTGGGTGGTGCGCAGCTTCGAACAAACTCACATGGTGGATTACGATCTGACCTTCGCGCCCGTCGGAAGGCACACCTCAGTCCGCATTCTCATTTGCATCGCAGCCGTCAAAGAACGTCCGCTCCGACAAATTGATGTCGGAAGTGCATTCCTATACGCGCCTGTCGACGCCATCATCTTCGACGAGCAACCGCACGCCTTCGAAGAAAGCGACGGTGCCGTCTGCCTTCTCCACTCCCTTTATGGGATCAAGCAAACACCTCATCTGTGGCAGCAGTACCTACACACCGTTCTCACGGAGCTCGGATTCGCTCAGCTGCCGCATAACCAAGGGATGTACCGGAAGTAGTCACGCGGCAAGTTCATCCTTCTCGTCGCCTACGTCGACGACCTCTACACCGGCGATGACACAGAGCTGCTTCACTTGTTCAAGGAAGAAATACAGGAAAAGCTCGAGGTGACGATCAACCGCAACGTCACACAGTTCCTGGGTCTCAACATTACCCAGCCCGCCACCTCCATCCATCTCTCCGCCGCCAAATATGCGGAAACGCTCGTGAAGAAATTCTCCATCGCCCCGATCAACCTCACCACCCCTTTCCGCACTTCTCCTCCTACTCATGAACCCGACACCATGCCGCTCTCCATCGAAAATTGTCGGCTCTTTCAGCAGCAGCTGGGGTGTCTCTTGTTCGCCGCCGTTACGTGCCGGCCGGATCTCTCCTACGTTGCAAGCCAGCTCTCACAGTACCTGAAGCGACCTGAAGGGGAGAATCTGCTGGACCTACGCCGAGCACTCCAATACTTCATCTCTGCCCCTGACGTCGAACTCACGTACGAAGCTAACTTAACTGCTACCCTGCGGCTTCACGGCTACGTAGACGCAAACCATGCGGGAGACATTAACAACAGACACTCCCGCACAGGCTTTGTCTTTCAACTCAAACCTGCTGGACTCATCTATTGGAACTCCCAAAACCAGGAACTCATCGCTCTCTCGTCAGCCGAAGCTGAGTTTATCGCCGCCAGCGCAGCTGTTCGCGAAGGGCTGTACCTGATGGAGCTCATGCAGGTTGCGAAAGTGACGACGAACGGGCACTTCACGTTACTCTGCGAAAACCAGAGCACGATCAAGATCGCGAACAAGCCCGGCTTCGTGAACCGTACGAAGAACATCGCACTCTGTTACTTCTTCGTCAAGGACGAGATCGACAAGGGCAAGGTCACACTCACGTACTGCCCAACTGGTGACATGGCAGTCGACTTCTTGACGAAGAAACGGCCACGTCAGCAGTTCCAGCACTGCTCCGACCTGTTCGGGATCTCGAAATGGTCCCACGTTGTTCACCTTCAGGAATGACGAGGAGTGTTGGAATAACCGAAAGGTTACGATAACATTTCCGAAAGTTCTCTCCTAAGAGCACCACTTCATAACGAAGAGTACCGAAAGTTCTGTACCAGTACCGCAATAGCTCATATAGAGTACGCGGCAGGCAAAGAGTCACCCGAAGGTCAACAGTCGCCAGAAGTCAACAGTCGCGACTGTTGACCGTCCAGTAACCGCACTCAGAAGTTGCGTGATGCAACATGGTAAGTAAGTGTCGAGAAGAGCAATAGTCGTGATTACTGCAGCAATGCATTTCAGTTAATAAGGGAATGTACCCCTCAGAGTACGTGGCTAGCTAGTTTGCTATTTATATCCTTGTACTGCTATCTTATAATTATCTTGTTCTTTTTAAATCATTCTCAACAACGTCACTACAAAGACATCATTGTCTTCTCTTAACTAAGCAGTCTTATCCTATCCACTACGATTCCGGTTTATATCAGCAAGTCAAACCCTGGTTGGAACGAGAAGTTACAGCCAGGAATTTCGGATGCACTGTTCATTACCATTCAGGCAGTAATTTTGACCATGTTAGGCATGTTGGTTACCACGGTGGCGATGACACGATACCTTTGTTACGATTTCGACACGTGGCAAAAGGTAATTACCCTTTTGTTTATCCCATTTGTCAAGTTCATTGTAACGACAGTAGAAGGTTTGTTCATAGCACCATCACATTCCGATTGTAGCACTCTCCTATCGTGCACCCATCCCGCAACTTCCATGTCAAGTTCCATAAGACCGCTCGTTCATTTCTCGCAAACACCAGACCACCATGTCTCTCGTCGTTATCGTCGTCGCGGTACTCTTGATCTGCGAATCGCAGCTGTCTGTCATGGCGCAGATGCCGCCCAACATGCCAGGCGGGCAGATCGGCGGCGAGGCGGGTATCGAGCTAGCAATGTCTCTTTTCCAAGTGAGTTCTGGCCTGCGCGCTCCCGTCTGCACTGCACACAGCGTGCTGCTGATGGAGGTTGTATTATCACTCGCGTCTTGCTCTCTCTTCCCCTTAACTCATCACTTCGCATTCGCATCCCGCCTTTTCATCCATCCAATATGGGAGGAGGCCTACGGAGTGAAACATGATGTTCACATGCCACCCTCATGCTCCCATTCCCTTCCCCTCGCGCTCCCATTCCCTTCCCCTCACCCTTTCATTCTCTTCGCACGCCATTTTGATCTGTTAGACATGGGAGGAGGCCTACGGATTGAAACCCGACGTCCACTTGCCGCCCGCAAAGATCACCTTGACGCCCATGGTGCCGCCCGCTCCCCATTTAGAGGACTGCTCGGTGCTGACAGCGGCGAGGAAGGAGTCGGAGAGGTGCGGAGGGGACGGGGAGCCCCCTCTATGGGCACGGCATCTTGATAACTGCTCTCAGTGCAACCAGCAACCACCATGGGTAGGTACAAAATGGCAGCCTCCTCTCTTCCCCTCCTCGCGGCCTCCTCTGCGGGCGCTCCTTGTTAATAACTGCTCTCTCTTCCCCTCCCCGCGCCGCAACCACCATGGGTACGAGGCGCCTCAAACAACGGGCAGTCTCCTCTCTTCCCCTCCTCGTGTCTCTTTCTCTCTCTCTCTCTCTCTCTCTCTCTCTCTCTCTCTCTCTCTCTCTCTCTCTCTCTTCCCTCGTCGCGTCTCGCTCTCTCTCTTCCCTCGTCGCGTCTCGCTCTCTCTCTTCCCTCGTCGCGTCTCGCTCTCTCTCTTCCCTCGTCGCGTCTCGCTCTCTCTCTTCCCTCGTCGCGTCTCACTCTCTCTCTTCCCCTTCCCGCGACGTGTTGATAACTGCTCCGCCGAATGCACCCCGCAACCGCCATGGGTGCTCCTCTCTTCCCCTCCTCGCAACCGCCATGGATGCTCCTCTCTTCCCCTCCTTGCAACCGCCATGAGGCATGGGGAAGGTGGGGGACATGCATGTATGTCACAATTGGATCAATTTTTCCCCGTACCAGAACTTTCTCCCTATAGCTAGCAAAACGGGTTTTTGAAAGAGAATTGGAAGAAATGAAAGATGGGTTTTGTTTTCTAGATACTAAGCGGTGCAGTGAGGTTTGTGTTTAATTTTGGTTGGGGGGGGAATCAAATTTGCTTGGGGGGCTGGTTTCTATGGTCGAAATGGGTGGGAGGGGGTTCCAATGTCGCAAAATTGAATTTCGCGTCGAAATGGCTAGCACAGGTAAGCGCGCACGAATGCTTTTTCCCGGGCTGCCCGAAAGTTTTGCCCTATGCGTCTAGCGTCTAAGGGTGCGTCCTGCATCTAGCATCTAGATGCTAGACGCAGGACGGTCCCTGCGTCTTCCGCAACTAAGGTACTATGGCAGCACTATGCTCGTCTATGGGTGGCGACTATGGCGTCATGGGTGGCGACTATGGCAGCGCTATGGTCGTCCTTCCGCTCCGCTGGCATTGTAATGGTACACAACCTTGTCCAAAAAACTGCAAACACTCTACATACTGCAAAATGTGTAACCGTTTTTTTTGTTCTTTTATTTTATGTTCTTTTTTTCTTTTTGGGCGCCTAAAAGAACTCATGGACTAGGGTTTAAGAATGACAAATAGGGGATTTTCTGTCGAACTACCCCTACCCATCCCCTCCCAACCCCCAAGTGCCCGGGTCCGATGCGGACAATCTACCGTTGACGCTCGTGGCGGAGCGGGATCTGTGAATGCACCAGCTGTTCCCCCGCCTCCTCCTCACACCTCTCTGCTTCACCTTCCCTTCCCTCCCCGTCCCCCGGCTTGCTTCACCCAGGTGCGTGGGTCCGACGCGGACAACCCACCGCTGACTGACGCGCGTGGCGCAGTGGGATCTGTGGGAGCACCAGCTGTTCCACGGCAGCTGCGACAGAAAGCATCAACCCCCCTCCTCCTCCCAATCTATCTCCCCACGTCTCTCCCAGTCTATTTCCCCACGTCTCTCCCAGTCTATCTCCCCACGTCTCTCCCAGTCTATCTCCCCACGTCTCTCCCAGTCTATCTCCCCACCTCCCCTCCCTCCTCCCCTCGCGCCTGCCTTCCCCCAAACCAGGTGCGCGGGTCCAATGTGGACAACCTACCGCGGACGCGCGTGGCGCAGCGGGATCTGTGGGAGCACCAGCTGTTCCACGTGTTTTGAGTAGACTCAAAACACGGCCTGTGGGAGCACCAAATGTTCCACGGCAGCTGCAATGGCAGGCACCTGCTCGTCATGCCGTGGCCCAACAAGACCTTCGATGGCGTCGGCTCTCAGGTGGGATTGGGGGAGAACGCACCTTCCGGGAAAAGTTGGGGTTTGAGGGAATACTAAAAAACCAACTTATCTTTCGAGAATTCTCAAAATCCAAGCGCCTGCTTGTCGTGTCGTGGCCCAACAATACCCTCCATGACGTGTGCTGGGCTCTCGCGTGGGAGGAGAAGTTGGTTCTTGAGAATTCTCAATAACCAACTTATAAACCAAGCGCCTGCTTGTCGTTCCGTGGGCCAACAAGACGCGCCACGGCGTGGGCTCACAGGTGGAAGGAGAGGGCGTGCCGTGCCTTACGGGAGGAGAGGGTCCGCGAGAGTTGCTCACACGGCGCGAGAGCTGCTCGCACTGCGAGAGTCGGAAAGTAATATAGTTCTGAGTTGTTTTTTGCCGGAAAGCAATCTCAAGGCCTGCAGGTGGGTGGGAGAGGGCGTGTTGTGCCTTACGGGAGGGAAGGACTGTGAGAGTTGGAATGAAACCTAACTTTGAGATTTAATTCCCAATTTTGAGACGTCTCAAGGCTCGGAGGTGGGTGGGAGAGGGTGTGCCTTACGGGAGGGACGGACCACGAGAGTCGGAAGCAGAGGGTGCCTCGCGTGGCTGCGAGGTGGGTATTGAGGGGCTTGCAAACGAGAGTCAGGGTGCTTAGAGTCAGGCTCGCAGGTGGGTGGGAGAGGACGTGCCGTGCCTCACGGGGGGGACGGACCACGAGAGTTGGAATGAGGAGGGTGCCTCGCTTGGCTGCGTGGTGGGTATTGACGAGCTTGCAAACGAGAGTCGGGATGCTTAAAGGTGAAAGTGGCTCCTTGTGTCACATCATATGCATTTAGTGCATATGCTATAACAGTGGGATGTAGGTATAGTTAGTATGCTAGCGTACGACCATAGGTGTAGGAAGGCTTATATATTAGGAATAGCATAGGGGTGTAGAATGTAGCGATATGACTGTTGTAGAGGGGTGTAGAAGGGGGGGGACCGAATTGAAGCGGTTGGAATCACGGGGGAAAGGGACGGAAGGGCGAATTGTGAAACCAAGGAACACCAAGCCCGAGCCGCACATTTGGGAAATGTGCAGCTTGGGGCTGGGTAAGGTCCCTCACACCCACCCCTTCCGTGCCTTTGGCTTGTTATTCTCTCGAACTAGTGAAGATTGTCATCGACGCTCTAGCACACCGTGGCACGTCACTAAGAGGGGAACCTACGGGGTGAGAGACCAAGCACTTTCATAACAAGCCAAAGGAGTGAGCCTGCGCAGATATGGATAAGTACAAGTTGCGCTGGGGTAGGATGTTTAGCCGTCGCGAGGAGGAACGGCCGCGACGTGAGCCGTCACGCGAACGAGGGTGATCATTGGAGAGGTCGCCGCGCCGACCAGCCTTCCGCGCGGACCGAGTTCCCCTCGCAAGGGACCGTCGGGAGGAAGGATCGACGGGCGAGGGAGCAGGCAATGCGGGCCGAATTGGAGGCATCGATAGAGACGCATGGCTACGAGACAGAGCGCGCGGGATCGGCGGTGAAAGGGAAACCCGCCGCGACGAAGGAAGGTTCCGCTCTCCGGAGGGGCGAGGACGGCGCCGTGACGACCGCGGCCGTTGGCAAGGCCGCGAGGAATTTCCCCGGGGACGAGGAAGAGACATGCGCAGCGGTGATCGCATGAAGGGCGCGCAGGAGAGCGCGGCACAGGAAGTGAGCGGGGAGCAGGGCGCGGAAGTGGACGAAGAGGACCCAGGGCTGCAGGTCGAGGGCGCGGATGAGGGAGATGGCGACGAGGACCAGGCAGCGGGAATCGACGCGGCCGAACCCGCTCAGGCGGACGAGAACGCTGGCGCGAGCCAGGCGGAGGAATCCCACGGGCGAAACGCCAGACGTGGGAACGAGCAGCGCGCCGAGGGCTCGCTTCGGCAGGAGCGAGTGGCCCAGGACGAGAGTGGGCGCGATGAACGGACGCAGAGACAGCGTGGCAAAGGAAAGGCGGAGCGGTCGCGCATGCCAGAAAAGGGTCAGTATCGCGGAGATTGGCGCGGGGGGGAGTTCAGGTCGGAGGACAGGCGAGGAGAGCAGGGAGGTTGGAGCGGCGGCGGCGTGCGTTCCCCGGAGCGGCAGCAGGCGCGCGGGGGCAGATGGAAGGATGAGCCACGCTCTCCCTAGCCGCATGGGCGTCAAGGAAAGAGGGAAGAGACGGAGCTCTGGTCCCAGGGGCGGAGCGGTCGGCAGCAATGGGAGCGCGGCAGCGTGGTGCGCGCACCAGATTGGCCAAGGCAGGGAGAGAGGAGGAACCGCAGCGGGTCCCGCTCGCCAGACGAACGCCGCCAGCGGGGGGAGAAGGAGGAAGGAGAAAGGCATTCGCCTGAGCGCCGCCAGCACCGCAGCAGAAGGCGATGCACCTGGTCACCTTTGCCAGAGAGACGGCGGCACCGCGAGACGAGCAACGGGGAAGGGCGGAGGATGCACGACCCGCCAATGCGGCAGTGGGCTCGGGCAGAGGAGTGGGGAGGGCCGAGGGAAAGGCACCGCGAGGCGGAATGGAGTCGGCAGGAGGGCGGGAGCTTAGTGTACGGCGCGGAACGGGCACGGGAGGCCAGTGAAGGCATGCAGAGAGCAAGGGAGAGAGGAGCGGAGAGCAATCGGCTGGGAGGGGCAAGCGAATCGTGGGGAGAGGGGCGAGGAGGTGCTGCCAGCGTGCCCCGGGTAGAAGTCCCCGCCAGGTTCTCAGGAGATCAACGCGCAGGACCGACCCTCAAGAATTACCTAATGCAGGTGGGAAATGTGCGCTACCGCTGCGACAGGCACAATGTGGACCCCTTGGACTTTTTTCTGAGTTTACCGAACACATTAGAGGGAGAGGCCGAGACGCTGTACCGTATGCGGATGGAGGAACTGCTATGGAGGGCAGGGAAGTATGGGGAAGACCCCACCGAGGCATTCCTGGAGAGGCTACAGCGGCAATTCCCAGGGCACACGGCGGAGCGCATAAGGGAGTTCCAAGAATTCAGGAGGGGACGGGAGGAGTCACTGCTGACCTACCACAACCGGCTGATCAATGTGGCGGAGGACGTGAAGTGTGCAGGCAAGAGCCTTCTCATTACCAAATTCTTGGGAGGCCTGGACGAGGCCCTGGGGGGGGGGCTGAGGATGATGGTGTACGAGTTAGGGGCTGAGGCGGCACTAGAGGAGGTATTCGAGCTGGCGGAGAAGGTTGAGCTCGCACAACGGAAGTATGAAGCATACCTGCCGAGGCCGATAGAGAGAAGCCGCAGGCCAACCTGGGCGGCAGCCATGATACCTGAGGAGAGGGGGAGGGCAGACACGCGAGCGGAGATGAGAGCGGACACCCGCACGTGTCACCGGTGCGGGCAGGTGGGGCACCTCCGCAAGGACTGCAAAAACTGTGACGGCTGTGGGAAGCCGGGGCACCGGAAGAGAGAATGTCCAGATGCAGCCAGGTGTGAGATCTGTGGGAAGAAGGGGCATGATGCCAAGGAATGCTATCAGAGGGAAGGGGGGGTAAGGAGAAACCCCAAAGAGCTGCAACGGCAGATCAGCAGGTTACAGTCTCAGCTGCAAGCCATGGGGCCAAGGTGGGAGGCAGAGGCAGGAATGTACGCCAGAGATGACGAAGGGGAAGAGGTGGAGCCGGACGCGCAGTGTGCCCTGATGGCATGGAGGGGGAGAGAAGAGATGGGGCTACGGAGCGGGGGCAGGGATGGCAGGCAGGAACTCGGCAGGAAGGAACGTGAACGGGGACACAAGCCAGACCCTGTGGCGCAGGAGAAACCCCCAGCACGCCACCCGCAAGAGAGACTCGCATGTCAGACTTCGGTGCTACTAGTGGGGGCAGGAGCAATGGAGGTAGAGGGGAAGCCAGTGAAGACGGCCATCATTGACACAGGAGCACAGAGTGTGATGCTGGGCAAGGGGTTGGCAGAGCAGTTAGGACTTATGGCCCCAGAGAGGCAAGTGGCGAAGGGCATGTTGGTGATGACAGCAGAGGGAGGGGAGCCGAAGTGGATGCCATACACACGGACACCCATAGAGCTGACTCTGCTACCAGGAGGGGAGAATGAGACCCGAATCAGGATCAAATGTGGGATTTCCGAGTCGGAGGACTTTGATGTGTTGGTAGGGACGGAGATGGTGTTTGCAGTAGGCATGAGTATTTGCACCTGGACCGAGAAGGTGGAATTCCGTACGAGGTATTGGAAGAAGGAAGGACCCTTGGGGCAGCTACCGGTGCAATTTGTTAAGGTGGAGCCGAAGAGGGCATACCAGGCCAGCGCAATAGAAGCATCGGAGAGGCAGCAGACAAGGGGACAGGTGAGGACAGAGGAGATCAGAGCGGGGCCTAGGATGAAGCTGATGGACGCCCCAGGGAAGCAAAGCGACTGGCAGCAGCCCATTCGCTTGGTGGAGCTGTTCGGGGGAATTGGGGCAGGCCTGGCAGCAGTGGTGAAGAACGTGTTCATTCATTCCTCGCTAGTATTCTCAGAATCAGAAGCGCAAACTACGTGTTTCCAACACTCCCCTTTGCTTCTGGAGTGTCGTTGCTGGTGACGTGGCCTTGTCCAGTCAGCAGCATACAGTACTCAAACTTCTGCTTTTCGAGTTTCTTGGTCAAGTAATCTGCTGCCATCTCGGACATGGGGCAGTAGGATAGCTCGAGCCTCCCTTTCTCGATCTCATCCTTCACGAAGAAATAGCGCATGGCAATGTGCTTTGTCCAGTTCGCGAACCCGCTCTTGTTCGCTATGCGAATTGCAGATTGGTTGTCGCAGAAGAGGGAGAAGCTGGGAGATAGGCCAGTTTTGCTTCTTCCAGTAGTTCGCGAAGGTACAATCCTTCCTTGGTGGCTAAGCAGAGTGGGATGTATTCTGCTTCAGCTGAGGAGAGAGCAATTAGCTCTTGCTTGTTCGACCGCCACGAGATAGGACCAATAGGCTCGAGTCGGTAGATATAGCCGGTGCGCGATCGCCTGTTGTCGGAGTCGGTAGATATAGCCAGCGTGGTTAGCATCCATGTAGCCGAGTAATTTTAGCGTCGTGGTTCCGATTTTGTGGTAGGTTAGGCCAACTGTCGGTGTGCTGACGAGGTAGTGCAGTGCGCGATCAAGTTCCGCCATATGCTCTGCTTCAGGCTTCTTGAGGTAGGTGGCGAGTTGGCTCGCTGAGTATGACAGGTCCGGTCAGCAGGTAACGGCTGCGAAGAGTAGGCACCCCAGTTTTCGCTGGTTGTCGCGTATGCCGGATGGACCGAGCGGAGCAGTGGCTCCTTTGTGGTTTTCGGCGGTGTAGCGATATGGCGTGGAGATGGTAGCTGGGGTTATGCCGAAGCGTTTGGCAATGGTGTCGGCGTATTTCGCGGCGCTGAGGTAGATCGCGTTCTCTCCATCTTGTATGTTGAGTCCCAAGTATTGCGTTACAGTAGAGGAAACGGTGAGTGTGAGATCCCGCTGCAGCTCCCCTTCAAACCAGGACGTGATGCCGTCGGTGGAGCCTATGTAGAGTAGGTCATCTACATAGACGATGAGCAGGATGTAGTCGGTTTCCTTTGTGAGCCTGTACATGCCTTGGTCGTGTGGTAATTGACGAAAACCGATGCGAATTAATCGGGCGTGTAGGTACTGTTGCCACAGTCTCGGCGCTTGCTTGATGCCGTAGAGGGACTTCAGCAGCTGGCAGACTTGATTGGGATCTGTGGCGGAGCCATGTGGTTGTTCGACAAAAATTTCGGCATCGACGGGAGCGTAGAGAAAAGCGTTAGCCACGTCTATTTGGCGAAGCTTCTTCCGCTTCATGGCGGCTATTGCGAGGAGGATCCGCAGGGAGGTGTGTCGGCTGACCGGCGCAAAGGTTTCGGTGAAGTCTCGTCCGTGTTCTTGGTCGAAGCCGCGCACGACCCATTGTGCTTTGAACTTGTCAATCGTTTCGTCTGCTTTCATCTTCACACGGACGACCCATTTTCCGGTGAGTATGGTCTTGTTGCGTGCCACTCTGATGAGTACTATTTATCAGGTATTGCGTTCTTCCAGCGCCTTTAACTCTCTGTCCATGGCTTCGCGCCATTTTTTCATGTGTTCCCCCCCCAGAGCCTGCTGAACTGTGGCAGGCTCCTTTGGCGGCGATGCTTCGTGGATGGCGGTGACAAGTCCGAGTATCTGCAGTCCACTCTGTGTGTAGCGGGGAAGATTTGTGTCCTCGGGATAGACTGCTTCGTCTCCCGCTTCTGGATCAGGTAAGAAGTTGGGGCGTATGCGTTCCGAACCGTTGGTGTTGACCGGCTGGGGTGTAACGTAACCATTGTCGGCGAAGTTGTAGTAGACTTCGGCGTTGATGCTTTCGAGAGGATTTTCGCCGTCCATCGGAACGGGTACCGAGTAGTAGGGTAGGGGTCCGGCTTCCTCGGATGCTCCATCCACGTTTTGCTCATCCCAGTCAGCCTCATCTTCTGGTGTGGCAAAGGCTCGGTAGCCACGGAAGCCGCCCGTGAGGTCTGCTGCCAGGTTGTCCAGGTACGTTTGAAGAGTGAGTCGTTCGTAGAAAATCACGTCACGTGCTGCTACTGTTTCCTTCGAGTGGACGTCAAAGATTTTCCACACGTTGTTGTGTTTTTCAATGCCCAGGTTGTAGTCCCCACTCTGCGCGCTGTGAGAATCTTCCAGCTCGTGCAGTGTGTGGTCGGTACTGTACAATGCAGCCATCGTAACATTTTTGTGTTGCTCAATTTTCCTGTCCACAGCAGATGCGGTGATGCGTTGTTCGGGAGCGATGATGACGAGAGCAGGTTGTGCAACAGCACAGCTGTTATAGTCAAGAGTCCACTTAGGGGTCGCGGATGCCCATGAAACCGCCTAAGGAGAATCTAACGACTTGGACCGCCTCTGTTCAAAACGCCGTCACGATCAGCTCCGGTTAGGTAAGATGCTGAAACTTGGACAGCAATTAGACTTAGATGTCTGCTTTCCAACGGTATATTGAGTGCCTTTATCAGAGGTGTATGCGCTTCGCAGTGAACAAAAACGTATGCTTGGCTGAAAACGTGTAGTTTCATTGATGCAAGGAAGAGGTAAGTACAACATTGCCTAGGGGAATCTTAAGGGGTTGGGGTCATCCTGGGAACTCAGAGAAGGTTGAGTCCTAGGGGAGAAAGGCTAGAGAATGATGGGAAACGTCTTAGCTAGGTCAGCAAAGCCAACCACACTTGGATGTTCAGAGCTGTACTCAAGGCTACCAATAGTGAGTCAAGCCAACCATGCGTCAGCTTGTCTCCCCACTTGCTGTTCACGCCACTCTTCTTTCTAACCTTCGCCCTCATCCCCTTCGCTCTTCCATTACACCCTTTCAGCTCTGGACTGGCCGCCAGCCTTCTGCCCGCCCTCTTCGGGTGTGGGGCTGTGTCGCTCATGTCCTCATCAATCCCGCTGATCGGGCGCGTCAGGGTGGGAAGCTCGCTCCCAAGACGCAGCTTTGTGCGTTTATTGGTATCAACTCTGACTGTCTTGGCTACCTTTTCTATGCTCCCTCCTCTCAGCAGCTCATTCGCAGCCAGGATGTCATC